CGGAAGCAGCTCCGGGCGGATGACGTATGAGGTCAGCGTTGCACATGCGATGTTTGAGTCTCATAATAACCAACGATTGTCAACAGGAGCAAAGGAAGCAAAGTTTCCTTACTTCAGCAAAGGAAAACCAGTCTCCTCTTGGATTATATCAAAATCCTCCGACATTCTTCTTTACAAATCCTCGTTTTGTACTTCTAATTAGTGACCGTTGTTTTGTTTTGATCTCTCCGCTGCGCTTCTGCGTGCGTCACTTATGAGCGGCGCATGCGCAACGCCGACCTACATACGTCATCCTCCCGGAACTGCTTTCATGTACAACTGTTGGCGCAAGCTACATTAAAGTGATTATTACATTTTGAATATGGATATTTTTCTTACAAAAATGCATCGATTCGCTACAGGAGGCACTTTTTTATGGATGGGCGCTTTTTATTTAACTTATTTTGGACTGATGCATGCAACACCCGCTGAGTGGCATTAAACAGCTTGAAAGTTAAAATACCATTTTTAATATAACTCCGACTGGATTCGTCTGAAAGAAGAAAGTCATATACACCTAGGATGACTCGAGGGTGAGTAATTTGTGGGATAATTTTCATTTTTGGGTGAACTGACAACTTTAACCCCACTTAACTCTGAAATGTGTTACTTTCAGAACATGAGAAAGAAATCCTTTACCTGACACGCCTGCCGTACACAGTGCAGCTTTGCCAGGAAATCAGTGTCTCCAAGACATTCCAACACTTCAGTTCTGTTTTTTTTATTTTTTAAAAGACCAGTGAACAACAGTCTAGATAAAACATATCAACTTAAAATAGAACTCAGCTCTGCACAATATTTTCAGAAATGTGTGCAAACAAACAGATCTATAAAACAAATCAGTTCATACTTTCAAATCAGTTTGATTAAGCCACATTCAAATATCCAATGCACACGTACCTATGAACATGACTGAACTTTGTTAAAACATCTAGTCCACAATATTATCTATAGTTAGTCTAATAAACTATACGAGCTAAAAAAAATGATTACTGTGTTTATTATTAATATTTATTTAATACACAACTATATTGAACACTAGATTCTGATTGGCCAGTCAGGTATTCTGTGTTCCCCCATGCCTGACATACTTGACTCACCGTAGCACTCGACAGGAGATCTTCCCTTCCTCAGCCATCTGCAGGGCATCCTCATAAAAGGGGTGATGACACAGTGACCCCAGCGCATGGGCACTCCTCATCTCTCTGTGCTCAGATAACTGAATCAAATCACAAGATTTAAGACCTTTTTGTGTAATTCTTTAACTTTTGTGTATTTTGTACAGTGGGTACGGAAAGTATTCAGACCCCCTTAAATTTTTCACTCTTTGTTATATTGCAGCCATTTGCTAAAATCATTTAAGTTAATTTTTTTTCCTCATTAATGTACACACAGCACCCCATATCGACAGAAAAACACAGAATTGTTGACATTTATGCAGATTTATTAAAAAAGAAAATCTGAAATATCACATGGTCCTAAGTATTCAGACCCTTTGCTCAGTATTTAGTAGAAACACCCTTTTGATCTAATACAGCCATGAGTCTTTTGGGGAAAGATGCAACAAGTTTTTCACACCTGAATTTGGGGATCCTCTGCCATTCCTCCAAGTTGCAGATCCTCTCCAGTTCTGTCAGGTTGGATGGTAAACGTTGGTGGACAGCCATTTTTAGGTCTCTCCAGAGATGCTCAATTGGGTTTAAGTCAGGGCTCTGGCTGGGCCATTCAAGAACAGTCACAGAGTTGTTGTGAAGCCACTCCTTCGTTATTTTAGCTGTGTGCTTAGGGTCATTGTCTTGTTGGAAGGTAAACCTTCAGCCCAGTCTGAGGTCCTGAGCACTCTGAAGAAGGTTTTCGTCCAGGATATCCCTGTACTTGGCCGCATTCATCTTTCCCTCGATTGCAACCAGTCATCCTGTCCCTGCAGCTGAAAAACACCCCCACAGCATGATGCTGCCACCACCATGCTTCACTGTTGGGACAGGTGATGAGCAGTGCCTGGTTTTCTCCACACATACCGCTTAGAATTAAGGCCAAAAAGTTATATCTTGGTCTCATCAGACCAGAGAATCTTATTCAGGTGTTTTTTAGCAAACTCCATGCAGGCTTTCATGTGTCTTGCACTGAGGAGAGGCTTCCGTCGGGCCACTCTGCCATAAAGCCCCGACTGGTGGAGGGCTGCAGTGATGGTTGACTTTCTACAACTTTCTCCCATCTCCCAACTGCATCTCTGGAGCTCAGCCACAGTGATCTTTGGGTTCTTCTTTACCTCTCTCACCAAGGCTCTTCCCCCCCGATAGCTCAGTTTGGCCGGACGGCCAGCTCTAGGAAGGGTTCTGATCGTCCCAAACGTCTTCCATTTAAGGAATGGAGGCCACTGTGCTCTTGGGAACCTTAAGTGCAGCAGAAATTTTTTGTAACCTTGGCCAGATCTGTGCCTTGCCACAATTCTGTCTCTGAGCTCTTCAGGCAGTTCCTTTGACCTCATAATTCTCATTTGCTCTGACATGCACTGTGAGCAGTAAGGTCTTATATAGACAGGTGTGTGGCTTTCCAAATCAAGTCCAATCAGTATAATCAAACACAGCTAGACTCAAATGAAGGTGTAGAACCATCTCAAGGATGATCAGAAGAAATAGACAGCACGATCTCTCCGCTGCGCTTCTGCGTGCGTCACTTATGAGCGGCGCATGCGCAACGCCGACCTACATACGTCATCCTCCCGGAACTGCTTTCATGTACAACTGTTGGCGCAAGCTACATTAAAGTGATTATTACATTTTGAATATGGATATTTTTCTTACAAAAATGCATCGATTCGCTACAGGAGGCACTTTTTTATGGATGGGCGCTTTTTATTTAACTTATTTTGGACTGATGCATGCAACACCCGCTGAGTGGCATTAAACAGCTTGAAAGTTAAAATACCATTTTTAATATAACTCCGACTGGATTCGTCTGAAAGAAGAAAGTCATATACACCTAGGATGACTCGAGGGTGAGTAATTTGTGGGATAATTTTCATTTTTGGGTGAACTGACAACTTTAACCCCACTTAACTCTGAAATGTGTTACTTTCAGAACATGAGAAAGAAATCCTTTACCTGACACGCCTGCCGTACACAGTGCAGCTTTGCCAGGAAATCAGTGTCTCCAAGACATTCCAACACTTCAGTTCTGTTTTTTTTATTTTTTAAAAGACCAGTGAACAACAGTCTAGATAAAACATATCAACTTAAAATAGAACTCAGCTCTGCACAATATTTTCAGAAATGTGTGCAAACAAACAGATCTATAAAACAAATCAGTTCATACTTTCAAATCAGTTTGATTAAGCCACATTCAAATATCCAATGCACACGTACCTATGAACATGACTGAACTTTGTTAAAACATCTAGTCCACAATATTATCTATAGTTAGTCTAATAAACTATACGAGCTAAAAAAATGATTACTGTGTTTATTATTAATATTTATTTAATACACAACTATATTGAACACTAGATTCTGATTGGCCAGTCAGGTATTCTGTGTTCCCCCATGCCTGACATACTTGACTCACCGTAGCACTCGACAGGAGATCTTCCCTTCCTCAGCCATCTGCAGGGCATCCTCATAAAAGGGGTGATGACACAGTGACCCCAGCGCATGGGCACTCCTCATCTCTCTGTGCTCAGATAACTGAATCAAATCACAAGATTTAAGACCTTTTTGTGTAATTCTTTAACTTTTGTGTATTTCGTACAGTGGGTACGGAAAGTATTCAGACCCCCTTAAATTTTTCACTCTTTGTTATATTGCAGCCATTTGCTAAAATCATTTAAGTTAATTTTTTTTCCTCATTAATGTACACACAGCACCCCATATTGACAGAAAAACACAGAATTGTTGACATTTTTGCAGATTTATTAAAAAAGAAAAACTGAAATATCACATGATCCTAAGTATTCAGACCCTTTGCTGTGACACTCAAATATTTAACTCAGGTGCTGTCCATTTCTTCCGATCATCCTTGAGATGGTTCTACACCCTCATTTGAGTCCAGCTGTGTTTGATTATACTGACTGGACTTGATTAGGAAAGCCACACACCCGTCTATATAAGACCTTACAGCTCACAGTGCATGTCAGAGCAAATGAGAATCATGAGGTCAAAGGAACTGCCTGAAGAGCTCAGAGACAGAATTGTGGCAAGGCACAGATCTGGCCAAGGTTACAAAAAAAATTCTGCTGCACTTAAGGTTCCCAAGAGCACAGTGGCCTCCATTCCTTAAATGGAAGACGTTTGGGACAACCAGAACCCTTCCTACAGCTGGCCGTCCGGCCAAACTGAGCTAGAGCTGTAAGGTCTTATATAGACAGGTGTTTGGCTTTCCTAATCAAGTCCAATCAGTATAATCAAACACAGCTGGACTCAAATGAAGGTGTAGAACCATCTCAAGGATGATCAGAAGAAATGGACAGCACCTGAGTTAAATATATGAGTGTCACAGCAAAGGGTCTGAATACTTAGGACCATGTGATATTTCAGTTTTTCTTTTTTAATAAATCTGCAAAAATGTCAACAATTCTGTGTTTTTCTGTCAATATGGGTTGCTGTGTGTACATTAATGAGGGAAAAAAATTAACTTAAATGATTTTAGCAAATGGCTGCAATATAACAAAGAGTGAAAAATTTAAGGGGGTCTGAATACTTTCCGTACCCACTGTATATATAGGTTGATGCCTATGTGTGTCCACACAAAGTGATTAAGTAATGAAATGGAGGACAGATTTAAATTACGCAGGATTCTTACCCTTAAAGTACTCTCACAGTACCATGGTAAAAGCTGTATTTAGCTTGAAAGCTGTATTTAGCATGATAAATGAAGAAAACCATAATACATGTCCAATGCCATGGTGCTTTTTATAATTGTAGACTACACATGATGAGAGGTAAATGTGATCTGAAGCTTGTGCTGGCAACCGTGAGTGCTGAATAACCCAAAAAACAAAACATTTTCATGTTGAATCCCGTAATACATGAAGGTCTGAGAGATGTGACTGATGTACATCAACATGTTAGTAAGGTTCAAACTGTCCAGCGCGTTCCACACAAGCTGACTGGCACAAAGACTTCCCTCTCACCTCTGCGGCAGAGACGAAGGAATCTGTTGAGGCGATGCTGATTGAATCTCTCAGACAGGTGTCCTCCAAGTCCTCCCGCACGGCGAGATCCATGTGCTTATCTGCCACAGGAAATGAGGGAAGATTAGACTTAAGTGCCCTTATCTCACATGGGTGAGCGAATTGGTCTAGTTCCAAAACAGCAAACTGCATAAACCGATTCAACTGCATTGAAGGACAAATGTGTTTATAGGGTTTGCATGAGAAAGGGTGTGAATCGAGTGTGTTGTGCCATGTGTTCTGGGGAGTGGGTAAGAGGTAGACCTGTAAACAGTCGTAAGGAAAGAACTTTGGACCATGACCAGCTTCTTTATTTAGATACAGAACAGGAGCTGAGAGCCTCAGTAATACGCAGCAGGCGCAGCTGCATGAAGCAGAACGTGCAAAGTTGCACAGCCACTGTGTCCGTTTCTTTGTTTGATGAAGAAGGCATCTTCAAAACATCTTGCGTGTTCCACAGCGAAAAGAAAGTCACAGGTTTGCATGAAGAAAACCAAGTTATTGGCCACAATTGGTTTACACCTGCAGATACTAGTAATAATAGAAATAGTCACTATTATCAAATACTGTTGCTGAAATCTGGCCCCACTTTTCTTAATTTCTTCATAATCTTCTGTCACATATTGCAAAGTCTCATTTTAGCAGCCAATCACGATCATTATGAGAAAACATAAACAATCACCATGGACAATGTTCACCTGCTGATAGACACACTTGTAACTGCTCACACTACACTTTTCTTTCACTTGACTTCGATTCATACGCATATTTTGAAACTGAAAGGTGAATATTTGTTATTGAATATTGTTATTGACAAAATTGTCTTCCATTGATCTATTCATTGCTTGAATACAAACATGTTCAATTCCAGACCCCAAAAATCCAAGGACTGGGAATGCAGTACATTTTTACTTAGTTTATTCAGTGCGCTTGGTTTTTTTCCCCTTACACAAGCAGGTTGTTGTTTTGGTCTCCAGTGGTCTGTTGTTCCATTTTATTTGTTTATTTTTTGACTGGGAAACAATGGACCGGGCCGGTGTTGCCAAAAATTCAAAGTGCATGTGCCAGCTGATTGTACACAGTAAATGCAGATAGAAACATTTGGCTGTGCACATACAGTACGTGCGTAGTATTCTGACAATGAAATTTGCTTCATGCACACTGATGGCTAGATATAGATGGCTAATTTTGTGCCACAATCAAACAGTTGTTGTATGTTATAAGAAACCTCTGGGACACTTCAGTCTCTTATCCGTTTTTTTTTTTCTTTGTAATTCATTTTTGGCAGGTATGTAATCTGCCTACAAAGTTTAAACAGAAATTGTTTGGTTTTCACATTATTATTAATTTTACATTGAGATATATGAATCCATTAGAAGTTATGGTTTAAATAATAAAACACAACACAAGGTGCATTATTTATGCCATGTATCACACATCAACCTGTCACACATCAATAAAAAAGTACATTTTTAGAGTACAGTTATAGTTCACAGAGCCAAGCCCAGTAATTAAAAGTTACATAAGATCAATCATTTACTTCCACACAGTCATCTATTGACACAGTTGCCTTTAGTTTAACGCTCACCATTACTAGGACGTGTTGAAGGGTCTGTCATTCCCAGTGCTCCCTCAAACTCCTCCTGGAGCCGATAGGCTCTCTGTAGCAGGGACTCCAGCTTCCGAATGAATTCTACACTGATGTCCTAACAGATAGTAAAAATTAGAATACTATGTTTTATGAGCATGGAGACTCAGCTTAGGAAACATGGCTAAGTAAACTGTAAACATACAGACATACACTCAAAATATGAGTGTTTTTAAAAATATAAAAGTGAGCATTAGTGGGAAATGTACCTTAAATGTAAAACTAAGTCAAATGAGCATGAACAATTAAATATCCAATATTAAGAGCAAATATTGAGTTTCTGCCTTCTATTTATATCATATGATATGGTTTATCAATATCACATGAGCTGTTTTTCCCCCAAATATCTGCATGATTGCAAATGTGATAGATTTTTTTTACAACAGTTAATATAAACAAGAAGTTAATACTGTATAAAATTTTAGACACAATATTCTCGGTTTTGCTCAAATTCGCCAACAAAATAGCTCCAAACAAAGCAACAGTAGAATTGTTGTGTCTTTCCGAGCAACACACAGCGTGTTTTGTTACTGAATGAATGAGTCGAGAGAGCAAACGATTCAGTGACCCAACATAAAGACAGACACTTGCTTCATTTCTGAATGAATCACCTGGAATCAGATGAGTGAATGACTCGATCATTAAGACAGTGACTTGCCGCCACCTACTGGCGGTTTTAGTTTCATATTTAAAGGAGACATATTATGCCCCTTTTTACAATATGTAATATAAGTCTCTGGTGTCCCCGGAATGGGTCTGTGAAGTTTCAGCTCAAAATACTCCACAGATCATTTATTATATCATTTTGAAAAAAATTGAAAAAAACACGCTGTTTTTCGTGCCTGTCTCTTTAAATGCAAATGAGCTGCTGCTCCCCGCCCCCTTTTCCAGAATAGAGCTGCCCCATTACAGCTCGGGTCTGCTAAAAACATCTGTTTTGGTTCTGATTATCATGTTTATCGAGCTGAAATCATGCGTTTTAAACCATATTAGTTTAAACTTATGATATACGGTTTTCTGAGAGCACACATCCGAAGCACACGGACAGAAAGCGGCTGTCACAGCATGCGAGTACTAAACTAAGTTATCATTCACACACAAGTTTACGTTAAAAACACACATGAGTTACAAAAAACAGTCGGTTATGTCTGTGAAGGTAAACAGCTGGGAAATAAACTGCATGTTTATTTTAGATCTGTGTGGCAGCAGCAATATACAGTAAATAAATCAATAAATCCACTGCTCT